AATCATGTAATGTCCACATCCGATTTTTATATGTACAGAACCTATTTTACTTTTTGTTCTAGTTACAGTATACTTAAAAATATTTAATTCATTTAAGGTAATTTCAGTTGGTTTGAAATTACCGGAAACCAAATGCAAGAAAATATACTTCAATTCAATTCGAAAATTTATATGATTGTTAAGAGGAAAATAATACATTTTTCACATAACCTACAATATAGAAATTGCAGTAATGCTTATAATGTAATCTTAGAAGTTTCCATATAGTGCATTTAACTATACCTTTTCCTGTACTATTTGTCTTGTCATCTAACATTTATTTTGTGATTTTATTTGTAGTTCCTGAAAGATTTCAAAATTTTCAAATAATTTATAGCTTCTACAATTTCTAAGCTTATCAATTCATTTTAGTATTTTTAGTGATGTAAGGTAACTATGAGCTGCCACTTTAAAATGATAAATCTTAAAATTACATACGAGTTTAGAGCTTTGCACTTAGAAGCCGCATGGTTTTTTTAATTGAAGATTCATTTTCTGTGGAAAAGGACAATAAAACTCATTTTAAAACTCAATTATTTCTAAATCAAATTCAATTCGAAACTTTTAAACATTTTTAATTGCTTTGGGTGATATAATTCGGGCAAATGAGGCATTCCCGTTTTTAAAATATATATATAGATAGATAGATAGGAATAAAAATAATTTAATTCAATACGTTGCAAACATAAAACAAATCTGGTGTGGACACCACATGACTTCCTTGTACGGCCTATTAAATTATACATATTTTTTGCTGCATTTCATTTAAACTTATTTCCTCTAATTATTCTAATTCAATTAACTAATGTCTCAAAGCAAGTTGAAAAAGACATCAAAAATTGAAAATATTGAAATTAAATATGTGAATCAATTTTTATAGTACGTGAGTCTAACTTCTGATTTTATTTTTTATAACAAGTACAAAACTTTCCTAAACATAACTGTAATAACCGGGAGACAACGTTAGAAGTTAAATTTTGTTATTTGTAGAAAATTAAATTTCTTAAAACATTTGTCACTGCCGAAATATGAAAATTTTCATCATTTAAAATACTTCTGTAATTGTATACGATAACGAACAACGATTGCGAAAATAAAAGCCTGTTAAGGACTTAAACCGGGTAAGGCTGTGTACATATATACAGTATACACTCATACATTTTGCTTTGCTAATTGCAATAAAAACGGGAGGTGCACAACAAGATGTTATAGCAGTCCCATGTATAAAGTTTCAGTGTTCCACACATAATCATTTTTGATTTATGCAAGATACATAGGACTCATACAAGCGCACTTACGGGGAAAACTCCCTTTTGAATACACTTTGAATCGATTTTACAATCGATTTGGGAAAAAAGTCCTTCATTCTGTCATTTTTCTTTTATTCTGCAGAAACATGGATTTCTATTATTCTGCAGAAACATGAAATATTTTTACTTCCTTTACTTCGTACAAGGAATTAAATATATTCAAGGTTCATATAAAATTATTTTTACGTCTGATATATAGCAAACATAGCTTTCATAACTTTGCCGGAAGATAACTAGCGGATATTTTAGGTGAAATTAGCATGACATTTCTGCGAAATAAAGATATGCGATAAATATTTTGCCTGTATTTTCATTAGTTTAAAAGTCACCTAGAATTATTAAAAGAAAAATCTGAGGAAAAACACAATCTGAGGAAACACACAAAATATAGAGGAAAGAAATATAAAATAACTGAACTCAATTCAATGCCGACATCAAGCACTCCGACGTTAATATTGTGTTCTAATGTCAATCTCAGTTATGATAAAGTTACCACAAATAAATAAATAAATAAATAAAAAGATAAGTAACAAAATATTAAAAAAAAATCTGAAAGATTTCATATTTTATATTTCGCCCAGAGAAGTGTTTTCTTTCATTTAGACACGCATACACGATTCGAGAGCATTTGGGCTAATGTCCCTTTTGGCTAAACATATTTAAAAACAGTGCATCTTTCCGATAGACAGCCTCTCACGCTGGAGATAACTTTTTCCGTACAGTGTTGCCCTTGCTCGCTTTGACATTGTTGAGTTTGTTAATGAAAAACTCATTAAAGTTTTACGAAATATGAAATAGAATATAAAACATATTTCATATTCCAAATTCAGGCTGAAAGACTACGTTATTCAAAATTTGATGGCTCTAGGTACCGTTGTTTTTCACAGTGCAAGAAACATACATACATTCATGCAGATTCATTATTGAATTATTTTAAATATAATACAGGGCGATAATATTTCGTGGCAACAATTTGAAAAGTGAACGACATTTAAAGTTTTCAACGCAAAATGCCAAATCGAAATTAATAATCCTTCTGGGCTAACGCCCTTTGGGCTAGTAATGGTAACCATGATATTTTGCTGCGAAGTGTTAATTTTTTTAACTATAATACAGGGCGATAATTTGACAACAATTTGAAAAGTGACACAACACGTTTAGTGATTCAACACAAAATTCCGTTTTGAGACCAATAGCCCTTCTGGGCTAACTCCCCTTTTGGCTAAAAATTACAAGCTACTCACGTAACTGCAGAAATTTAAATGAAATATTGTGCTTATCAATAAGAGCATTTTTCAATCGCAATATGAAATTCGAAGTTTTGTTTATAATGATCTCTAGCAATATCTGTGTAATTCATAAACTCTTTAGAGACATTTGCTGTAAATCATCAGAAAAGAGAAAAGCGGAAATTTGCAGAATCCTATTCATCACTTCATTTGAAATATGGGACATCTATTGGGTTGCCTTTTAGGTGTTTTTATCAGATAAAATATTTCGTACGTATAGAAATTGTCTATCTTATATATATAATCATAAAGTAGATGTATGTTTCATATAGTTGGTAAACGTATCGCCGAAAGTGATTTATTGTGAAATGTTCTGATTTTTTAGTACATCTGTCAAAATACGATGTACTGATTATACCTAATCATCGCCTGTGAAATGCAAAAATTAATAAACAAACGTTGCAAAATTTGGCATTAATTAAAAGTTGAACGTAAGAAGAAATTAAGACTGTTGGAACGATTTCATTTTTACGTCTGATAAAATTGATTATTAATATTATATATATTTATTGGGAAAAGAAAAAGGAGACTTTGAGATAAAAAACAAAACAAAAACTGAACTTGAGGCAAATTAGTGCGGGCGAGAAGACTGCTTTAATAGCAGTTAATATGCTGCAACTTTCATATATCTCCATGTTATTAGGAAACAATAGGAAAGAAACATGAATACGCACGTATATGAGATAAGATTGTAAACCCTTTTGAATGATGGAGAGTGAATACGAAATCATTAACGGCGCAATTTTGAAAAATGTGGATTTTAGAAAAACCATGGCATAAAGTCATTCAAGGCAGAAGAGCTGTTGGTTGTTGAAAATGAGGATTTAAGTCATCGTTAATTAAATCTGATTTTGTTAGTCGCTTAGTTAGTAATGAAAGTCTGGCAAATAAAATCATTCTATAATTTTCAGTTAAACAAAGTTTGAAAAACTAAGTAAGTTTTATCTTTAATCATATTTTTCAAATTATCTGTCGAGAGGAATTTTCTTTATAGATTTTACTGTGTTAAATATGCTATACCAGTGCTATTAATTCATTTTAAATTTTCGTACGAATTCAGTATACAATTAATATCTTTTTACAGGCACTGATCGTCAGTAACTCGAACTATCAGCATATTTCTTATGACGCTCTGCCGCTTTTCCTCTTAATATCAAGGGATTAATATGATAACGATATTTTTAAATCATACCGAAATTATAGTTATCATTTCCCTTAATATTAAGAGAAAAAATTGCAAGGATCATTTCGATTTAACCTAGGGAATTCTCTACGGATTCTCTATTTCCTTTTAATTTTATAAGTTATCAATTGTAGAATGTGTTTCTGCATTGTTAGCATATATTTGGATAAGAACCGAAAACATAATATGCACAATTTTCTTTAATTTAATGAATTTTTCTTAATAGTATTTGAAACATTCTGTTACAGTGATATAATAGATTTATGGAAATTACATTTACATATTAAGTTTAATTAGTTATGCACAGTTGAGGTTCTTTCTTGGTTAAAATAATTAATTGATTTATGCAAAATAAAGGAAGGTTGTTTGCCTAAGAGAAAAATGTATTCTTAGAACAATTTTTCGAAGAAACCTCGCTCGTGTTCTCCTCTCCCATGGGAAAAACCACTGAAACTCTCGTGAAGCCATCTCGTTTACTAGGTTTTTAAACGTAATACTATCTTTTATGCTGCATCATACTCTTTTAAAAGCAGAAATCTTGTCTATGTTAAATACACTTATTCCAAATTTTGTTATCATTTTAAGCTGTTTCAGTTTCACTGTTTGCTTTAAGCTTTCCACTTCACCTGTGATTTTGTTCATAATAGTAGTTATTTACTACATTTCCTAAAATTTCGTTTTAGAAAGACAAAATATAAAACTCATCTGTAAATAATAAGCAATTATCGGAAACCTCTGCTGATAATTTAATCCTCTTCTATTGAATTTTGCTTTTTTCACAGGGTTGCAAAAAATTAAGCAATTCGTAAGTAGGAAACATTCTAACGATTGTTCGAATTTAACTGAATTATGTGTTATTATTAATCATACTGTCGTATAAATATAAGTACAGTATGCTTAGAGCTTTTATGACTGTCAGAGAAATGTTATAAAGATAACATGTAACTCTATAACAATAGTCTCTGAGTTCATTGAAAAGATCAACAAATGAAACTATCATCCTCTCATTTCTTACCTAGAAATTTCGTGATTGATATTTTTAATCTAAAGTCATATTTGTTTCAATCAATTGTCATATAACAGATGTATCTGCCATCGTATTCATTTCGAAAGCTCAAAACCTTGACTCAAACTAATAGGAGAGTCTTAAGGATGTCAAACTGTTAAAAATAACAGATGTTTAAAGTGGATTTAAAAAATGACCTCTTTTCTCATATCTGGCAAACACAATAGTTTTAATGCTTAATTCTTACCTATATAAGACTTATCTGCTTCAAAGTTTCAAACAAATTCTGTTTCGAAGAAAATCAAATTTTGAGTAAGACTGGTGAGTTATATTTTGTATATCCTTTAATCAAAACAAATATTATATACAGTTATTACTTATAATCATTCTAGTTTTTCAATCTATCTCTAGTTTGATATAAATATGTAAAACAAAGTAATGTGACAAAAACTAAAATTAACCGTCTTGCATCGGCTGCAAGATTATTCATTTTAACTTTTTCAAGTGATCGAATAAGTGTAGGGAAAATTCTGAATACATTTGAGATTCGGTCTTTCAATTTTAATTGAATTTTAATGTTTTTTGAAAATTTATTTGAATCTTTTATCTTTTTTTAATCTCAAATGATTCAGAAGAACGAAACATGTATTCGAGACATATTAATCGACTCTTTTGAAACTTTAATTCATTTTCCCTGAAGAGTTCTGAATTCAGGTTTCAGACAAAGAAGATTAATTTTAGTTTTTATTTCGATTACATTACTAATATGCATTTTTATTTTTTGATTACATTACTAATTTGCATTTTTATTTTCTACTGATAAATTCTTAATTTAATTTTGATTAAGTTTAACAACATGTTAAGCATTTTATCAATTGTTGCAATTATTAATATTTTATATATATCCATAAAGAACTTTCATTTTTGAAATGATTGTTTTTAACATCATCTTAAAGTTGATATATTTCTAGGCACACCTGAAAAAACCAGAGTACTTTATTCAAAATTTAAGATATATCTGAATTTACATATTGGAGTGTCTTGAAATTTGGCATATAGTCATAAGCGATAATAACTCCAAATGTGGTTTATGCATATTGTTAAAATTATTTGAAAGTAAGAATGATGACTTTTTTCGCTCGTTTACATTGAAAAAAAGGAAAGGAAAATAGGCTGTTATAAATTAAAGAGTTGGCCGAGTATTAGCCATTTTTGGTGCACTTGAAGAAGAACTGTAAGAAGTTTACCTTTCTTGGTGCAAACTGAAAAAATGCGCCAAGATAAATTTTTGCAGCAAATTTTACAAAATTTAATATTTAAGCATAATTTGAATCGTAGAATCGAAATATGGAAAAAAATGACATGTCATTTCAGAAAAAGTCTGATTTTGTGTCAAAATACCTATATTAGACCAATGCTATGTATAAATCTAGTATATATCCTAAGTCGCGCCCTCTAGAAATGAAAATCACAGCTTGAATTTCGTCAATCGGCCCCGTAGAATGGGAGATATAGAAATGTCCATCCCCTATTTCCCCCCTCCAGTCTACGATAAAATTAGTATTACAAGAAAATATTCTGATTACTTTCAATAAGAGCAAGTATCTTTTAAAAAAACTAAAAGGATTATATGCATATAATTTATAAACGAATTTAATCGCTTTGTTATATTTTTCGTTTATATAAATTTGGCTTAAAAGTTTATGTAATTAAATTCCTTTAAATGCCGGAGTTTGATCACTTATTCTTGTGCACAAATAAGTGTCTTAACAATAAACTGGATAAAATTCTCCAAAAAACATGTCACATACTTTTTTAAATTTTAGGTTTAACACTAGCAGTTCGTTTTTAACTATTCGCTTTTCCTAAGCCTGAAAGAAGAAAGAAGAAACCTGAAAGAACACCATTTCTGAAAGAAGGACACTGGAACCTTTAATTGCGTTTTACATTTCTGTATAACTTGAATGTTCCGAATTTATTTTCATTATCTCAGCATTTCTTTGTTAAAAATGAAACCAAACTATTTGAGCGTAATGCAGAAAAGCAAACAATGCATAATTACAAAGATTTTTAGAAGATTTTGCAGTTTAGCATTCTGACAGAACATTGCTCATTTCAGATCTCAGAAGGCCTAAATATGAAGCTGCTGATTTTTGCTGTTGTCCTTTTCGTCGTTGCAACTTCTCTCGCTTCTCCAGCGAAAGGTAAGACAAAAAATTAAATACCTCAAAATTATTAAGACATTATGCTAGGGAATACTCAGTTTTAGCAGCTGTAAGACAATCAAGACAATAATATTAACATTTGCTAATACGTAAGTGATAAAATGATATCATATTACATTTCTACACTTCTGAGAGCACAATCGGTCTTTTATCACGGAAAACAAAGTGGTTGAAGAAACCTAAGGTAAAAATGTTCTTGTAAAATAATATAGAAGTAAATCTTCATGAAGTAAAAATTATTACTGAAAACATTATCACCTCAGTAGACTAAAATAATACTTACACATATTCCGGAAATCCATTCTAAAGAATTGTAAAGAATGCAATTTAATTTTTTTAGTTAATCTGTAGAGTCATTAGGTTAATTGGAAACAGAAAAGATGAAAAATATACAACCGCCTTCACCGGGAATCGAAACACGGACCTCTGGAATACCGGCCCAGCGTGCTGCCGTTACACCACGAAGGCACGCTAGGGAAAGTGGAGAAATACCTTATATACTCTCCTTTTTAAATGGCGACTAGGGTTTTAGGGGACCTAGTCGCCAAATCCTGGGTACGGAGATTCATCATCGACAACCCTTTTAGTTCGGGCGCCACTTTTAGAGTCATTAGGTTAATTGGAAGCAAAAAGATAAAATATCAACCCTTCGCCGGGAATCGAACCACGGACCTCTGGAATACTGGCCCAGCGTACTACCGTTACACCACGAAGGCACGCCAGGGAAGGGGAGAAATACCTTATAAATCTTGCTCTGTAATATGCAGCAATGCTGTTGAAAACTATACAAAACCCATTAAAATTCACATCCCCACGATTAAGTAAAAGCTTACTTCCTCTGTGATAGCATTAAGAAAATTTATATTTCGTTTTTCGTGCCCACCACATGACTTCCGTTAACGGAAGTTTCAAATTAAGCACATTTTTGCTTTTGATTTTTATTTTTGCACTTATTTTTATTTCCTCAACCTTCATATATATTTCTAGTTCAATCAATGCAGCTGTCACTTTGCGGCAAGTTAAAAATCCATCAAAAAGTCTGAGATCATTAAAACTTTTACCTTTGTGCTACGGGGAAGACATATTTATGTATTAGGCCCAGCTATTTTTACAGGAAGGAGCCGAAAAACAGGTCAGCAAATCTTACACTTCCCCTTCTCCATATTAAAGAGTAAATTTTAAATCTCCGTAACTTAAAGAAATTTCTTGAGACACATTTAAAGTAGTCAGCGCGCTGGGCATATATGTATCAGCTCCCTGTTAAAGGTTAAAAATTGTAAAATACAGAAAAACCTAAAACACTAAATGCAGTTGTTATAAACAGTTAAAGAACACAATTTTTACAAGTAACAATAGAGTTTCTAAGCAAAATTAAGCAATTCGACAAGCGAAATATAAAATTATTGGTGCACAAAACTAGAAGGTAAATTTTGCTCATTCTGGGGGGGGGAAGAAATTACTAAAGTTGGGGCACCAAAAGTAAACAAATGCTCACCTCCTTCGGCTAAGTAACACTTAAACTTTTAAATTTTTGGTAATTCTACAACAATTGCATGCAGATTACCTAAAAGCCCTAAAAGTTTAAGAGAAACATAAAATCAACGCAATTCAATCACTTTTAAAGCAAAAAAAAAAAAAAAGGCTCAATTTACCAGCATATGAGGATCAAAAAATAAGCTAGCCGAGACGGGAATTTGAATGGCAATATACATATATATATATTTATATGTTTAGTATAGTAGATTGCAACGAAAAAGGGTAGTACACAACTACATGTTATTGCTGTACCATACACAAAATTTCAATATTCTAAGCCTAGTCATTTTTGATTCCTGTGAAATAAATACGTACATGTACTTCGAAAAAAAAGGGGGCAGTTTTATAGGCCGATCTGAAATAACATATAATATTTTTTTTTCCATATGTCGATTCTATGACTCAAATTATGCCTAGATATTAAATTTTGTAAGTTTTGGTGTTTTCAGTTTGAGCCAAGAATAATTCACTTAGAGAACATCTTAATTTACAGCAGCCTATTTTCCTTTCCTCTTTTTGATTGTGCTCGAGCGGAAAAAGAGTCATCGTTTATAATTTCAAATCATTTTAACAAAGTGCATAAACAGCATTTTCGTTATTATCGAATACACCAAATTTCAAAATGTCCCAAAATGTAAATTCACATATATCTTAGAAAATTTTGAATATAAAGCTCCAATGTTTTGCAGGTATGCTTAGAAATACATCTATTTTAAGATGACGGCAAAATTTTTATAGCTTATGATTAAGATGTTTTGTCGAAAAATTTATAAAAATTATTTAAAAATACAAATTTTAAAAATAAATCATAAAAAGTAGGCGAATTGTATTGGAAGGAACTAAATTTTGAAATATGGAAGGAAGAATCAAAATAAGTTAATAAAAAATATATTTATCAAATTTAATTAACATTGTAGAAATAAAATTTTGAGAGCTAATTTTTAAAAAACTACTCGTGCGATTTTTTCAAAGCTTGACAGTTCGGCATAATTTAAGTCTTAGAATCGAAATATGTAAACAAACTGGCATGCCATTCCAGAGAATGTCCGATTTTGTGTCAAAATACCTATATTAAAACAATGCGATATATAAATCTAATATATATCCCAAGTCGCGCTTTCGAGACATGAAATACGCAAGTTGAATTTCTTCAAACGGCCCAGTAGAGCAGGAGAAATAGACTGTCCTTCTTTTTTTTTTTCCGGGGGGGGGAGGCAAATGTACGTGCGTATTTGCAGACATCACGAAAAAAGAATCTCTTCTGAATCCATTCGAAATCCATTTTATAATCGGTTTTAAAAAAGAGAGTAATTTTATGCTATGCGTAGGTACAGATGTCAAGCAAAAAATATCGTTCTAAGGATTCGAAAGTTATCAAAATGGACATTTTCGTACTAATATGATAGCCGAAATTGTTCGCGTTTAGAGTACTTCCTTTACTTCGCACAAATAAGTAAAAATGCTTATTTCTTCCATTATATTAGCAAAAAAATATTTATTTTTTACTACTTTAAATGGTATTAATTCTAAACGAATTTATGAATCCATATATGTACAGTGTATCTATAGAAACTCCACTCGTAAGTTTAGCTCACGGTAATTTAATTAGTAAATTTAGTTAATTGTATTATAAAAATTTATTATCCAAACTTAAGATATGCCAATAACTATGTCTGACTGATTTATAGAGTTTGTTAATATTCTTCTAGATGTATGAGAAGTTATGAGCATGAAAAAGCTTTTCTTCTCTAAACTGAATTCCTGTACCGTACCGTAATATTACTTTTAACGTTACAAATAATCGTAAATTTATATCTCATTTAAATTTAGGCCGCAAGTCTAAAAAATTATATTTGTTTGAAAACTGTATTACAAATATAATAAATTACTAACTATATTACAAATGGGAAAATTAGAGTAATTGACTAAGTTTTGAAACAATTATTTTCCTTCTTATAACCAATTTAGCTTCTTCTTGACACAATTTGACCGGACAAAAGGTACAAAAAAAGAGTTCGTAAGAAATATTTGAAGCCTTTCAAATTTTATATTACGCCCGAAAGGGCGTTTCTTGAATGGTTTGTGTGTTACTTTTATTTATTAAATAGCACAGTCATCGCACGTAAATCACATAAATTTGAATTCAACATCAGTGTCAGAAAATATTTATTAATAGAATAGAATTTTCGATAGACAGTCTCGGGTGCTGGAGATTAAAAATCTTTATTTTCCGTCTATTGTTGCCACTGCTCGCGTTAAAATTGCTGAGTTCGTTAATCAAAAATTCTTTAAAGTTATAAGGTATTTCTCTCACCTTCTTGGCGTGCCTTCGTGGTGTGGTGGTCTGCACACTGGGCCGGTATTCCAGAGGTCCGCGGTTCGATATCCGGTGAAGGCGTTGTTAATTTTTCATCATCTTCAAAGGCCAACCAGCGGCCTAGCGGTAAAGACGCTGAACACTGGTGTTCTTCTGAAGGTCAAATCCCGCGGGCGGGCTGATGCAGGGCGTTTTCGTGGTTTTCCCCTGTGTAACCTGTATACGAGCCAGTTCCTTAGAGTCCCCACGAAAGGCATCCCTCCGTTTAGGCAGATAGCCCTCGTGTGCTTTGCCATAATTAAAATACACCAAAAATACACCATCATCTTCAAAAAAATACCTAATGTCTCTAGAGTGGCGCCCGTAGTAAAAGGGTGTTGGATAATGATTCTCCTCACCCAGGATTTGGCGATTGGGTCCGCTAAAATACCCAGTCGCCCTTAAAAAGGGGGAGTGTATGAGGTATTTCTTCCGCCTTCTTAGAGAGCCTTCGTGGTGATGTCTGGATCACGCGTATTGAGAGGTCCGCGGTTCGATTCCAGGCGAAGGCTTTGCTAATTTTTCATCTCTCCGGCCTCCAAAAAATCCTAATGTCTCTACAAAGTTTCACATAATGTCGAATAAATAATAAAAGAAATTCGAATTTCAAAATTCGGGATAACAGGTGCACATGTTCGGGTGGAAGATAACATTATTCAAAATTTGATGGCTCTAGGTACCGTCTTTTTTCCACAATGACGGAAGCATACTTACATTCATGCACATTCTCCCTTATTTAATTTCTTTTAAAATAACTCGCTGATACCCACCCGCTTTGCTGGACACACTATTTGAATGTGATTCTAGACTTCTTATATGGAAGAAATGTAATTTCGAATTCATAATTAATGTAATTTTTTTTTAATTTTAAGTCGGGAAAAATAGTTCCAGTCAGTGAATGTGCCATACACAGATTTCCACATCACCCATGAGGTACTGTGTATTGGGATGCGTCCCCATTACTTAACATGGCGGGATTCCCAGCAGGCCTACACCACGAAAAATTGGCGACATAAAACTAATGTTTATATATATTTAACTGTTATCATAAGTTTCAAAAAAATAAATGTTATTATTAAGAGAAATA